GTATATATCCTATGTCAGCTATATATATATGTAGTGTAACTTTATGATGTATATATTCGTAACTTTTTTTCAATAAGATTATCGACAAACGGGGGCGCTGGTATGTCATTTCAGTCAATTTGGCATATTGTCTTTTTAACATTATGTTAGTTTTCATTCATTCGTTGATGTTACCTGTTTGTATCAATTAATATTGCACCTAATAACACTAAAATGTCATTATAATTATTGCGCACGTAATGTTTATGATATCCGTATTTTCATTTTTACTGTTTTTGCTGTGCATTATATTATTATATCTCATACTTGTGCAGTAATATCCCCGGGGGTGCACTCGCCTCCGAACTGGGGGGGGGGGGGGCTCGGGGAGCTTGAAAACCTCCACCTGTCGCAAACCGCGTTGTGCCCTAAAATACACCATGTCCCCATATACTGCACTAAAAAGTGTAACCTTGTTCCAATATTGGCTTTCATATATTGGTACAATATTGGGCTGCTGATACATATGTATTGGCCCAAATGGGAGTGGCCGGGGTAATATATAGCTGGTTTAATCCCAACTACGTCTATATGTATATATATGTCATTATAACACTTGTGCAATTTGATTCATTTTAATAGCTTGCTGTTTTATAATTTTCTCATTCACCTTTGTTAATATATTACACTACGTATTTGTATCACTTTGATAACTTTGGCATGTTTTACTTATTGTTTTCATTTACTTTCTCTATATCCTCATAATATAATGTTCAACAGTTTGTAAGAACTACAGCAGACAGTTACTCTAGTCACGTTGACATGTTATACGTATTACTTTAGCATTAAGCGTTATTTGTTTAGCAATTCGTTTATGTAGCGTTAAGCAAATTCGTTAATATTATCTTACTTTTACCAATATTTCTTAAGAAAACTGTACTAGTGTGTCATTGCAATTATTTTAGTATGTGATAACTATGATATCCGCATTCATGACGTAACTGTTATTGTTATGCATTATTATTTTTCGTCATATACGATTGGTTGCATCCTAATTTTGCCATACTTGTATACCCACGCACGCACGCACGCACACACTTTCTGTATGTAGTAGAATTTGATGCCAATGTATCAATATTCATATATTGTTACGTCATCAATCATCAATCAATTAATTCACATTGGTATCGTGTTACATTGACCATGCTCACGACCAAGTCGTGACAATTATACTGCACCCTGACACCATTACCTTTATTGCAACAAGCATCATATACATAGTGATATTTCAAACGAACAGCATAGGCATATTTGTACAAGCAGGGGTATACACAAACGTTTTCTGCATGCTTTGGCAATGTCTATAAACGCTATAGAACGCTATATATAAACAAAATAATAGCTAACAGCAACAAACAACTAGACGATTATTATAAACTATAATAATTATTAATATAGTATAT